CCTCCCCTGCAGCTCACTTAGGAGAAGCTGGGTTTTTTTTTCCATACTGATAGCACTTCTGCTTATGTCTCTTCTGCCTATCTTCCCTGTAAACATCCTGTCCCATCAGCAGCTCCTGACAGACTGTTTATAGTCAACACCGTGTGTGGTTTCCAGAGCCAGACCTAAGCCTTTAGACAAAGCTGGCTTCTGTTGATCACTTATCTGCCAATTCTTTACCTGAAACAGCTCTTGAATCTCCCTTCTCTTGTCCCAGCCCTGTCTCCTGCACCATCTCCTGTAGGCTAGCTTCCTTCCTAATTTGTCTTGAACTGCTAAGGGGAGGTACCAGGCTGGGTATGTGGTTAGCAGTGTTTCTCTGCAAGATGCATAGTCCAAACCCGAGGGCCTGATACAGCCCACTACTCTCATCTTCCTGACTCTGAGTAGATGCATACTTCCGACTTAGTTTGGCCGGAACTCACTTTATCTGACATCCTCGTAAGCAAATCTGGTGCTTACCTAGGCTAACAGGAGAGACCAAAGCCTCTCCATGAAGTCTGGTATCCTCCATAGGGCTGTCCCAGGCCAATGAATGTGGTGGCAGAATGAGTCCCTGCAGTGAAGAAGAGGATTTGTTGCATGAATATTGTTTTAGCTGAATGTATCCAGGGAGTGGAACCTGGGGCCTCCCGAATACTAAGTATGCGCTCTACTGCTAAGTGATGCCCCGTCTCTGCCTTATTCTATGTTTGTGCCTTGGTGCTCCCTCCATCTGCTATTTTACTACTGCGAAGTCAATCTCAGGATCAAAAGGTGGAGAAATGGGCTCTCCTTGTGAGGGAAGGCGGAACCGCTGTGAATACAGATAGTCTGAGAAAATTGGGATTCTCTCTGCAATGATGGTCATAGTGGGACAGGGTAGCTGTTTCCTGTTCCCAACTGCACTCATTGTGCTAGGCTAATTTGCATGTTCCCCAAATTCATAATGTGGGAATCTTTGGGATGATGGCCTTGGTGATGTCAGCAATGCATCGCAGAGCGGCAACCCGCCAAAGCCCAGTGAGTCCAGTGAGTCTCTGCTGTTACCCCCTGTCCAATGATCCTGTTCAGCTTTCATGCCTGCCTTCTGGTTTTCCCGGTCCTTGCGGACCCTTCCCTGAAGACTTTTGTTTTTATAAAAGTGACATCTCAGGTGTGGTAGTGGCTAACATCTCATGCCACTTTTCTTTCACATCCTTCTTTCAGGCCAACTTGGTCACTTCCTCCTCCATTCTCCCGAGTGTCCCTTGCAACCTGTGTCCCGTTGCCAGGCATTTTTCTGTGCAGTTCTCTGCCCCACCGCCACCCCTTGCAAGCAGGAAGTCTGAGTTGGTTGTTTTGTTCTCCCTCCTTCAGTCATGGGACAACAGCACTGTTGGAGCCCTCTGTGTAGTGTGAATATTTGGGTGGGAAAGTCAGTGAGTGAAGTCCTTGTCATTGTCTTGAGTCATCTCAGAAGGGCCAAACTAATCCATACTTCCTCTCTGCTTTCCATTTTCAGCCGTGACTTTGATGAACTGAAAATGCCAACCAGAAGCGGCTGGCACCTGCCAGGGCAGTGCTGAGCAAGGGTCAGCGCTGTGGATCCGGACAGTTGTATCTATGAGCCAGAGGTAGACAGTGGCTCAGCCTCCTGAGGTGAGTCACATGAGGGAGACATGCTGTCTTTTCCAGACTCTCCCCCAGGGCTGTGCTGTGGATTGCACTGGGGATAAGGACAATACGCTCTCTTTTCCACCTTTGGAATTATGTTGAGGGATTGGAGAGGGGATGAGACATGCGCTGTGTTTTCCAGACTCTCCTGCGGGTTATGAAGCAGAGCACAGGGTGTTGCCCTGTTTCCTTAGACTCTTTGTAGAGTAGCCTGCCAGCCGTGCGGAGCAGTGCCCACAGAGGGGACCTTTTTTCCCTGTGACGTACAGAGCAGGCTTCTAATGGAGAGCTTTGCAGTTCTCGTGGAAACTCCTAAGAGACCCCTGGACGGTGAACATTCTTCCATGACAAGTGGCCATCATTACAAATAAGGCCTGGCCCGATGCTATTGCATTCTACATCAAGTCTTAAGCGATGGCTCTAAGGACAGACCTGGTGAGACTTGGTTGCTTTGTATCCTGGACATCTAGATCTGAAGATGGCCTGGCAGTTGTGTGGAATCAGTGTTCTGTCAGTGCCTTGATGCCTCTCAGGGAAGAGCGGTGTGGCAGCCACAGTGAGGACCTGTGCATATGCGTTCCTACCGTACATTCTGAGCATAGTGCTAGCGAGGATGTGTGTATCTGTGTAAGACAAACCCATGTGTTTATATGTGTATAAGTGAACATCCACATCTATACATATCATCCAGATTATTACTAAACAAACCACATTCATTGATAACTTTTCTCCTCACGGACAGAAGCAACTTAAGAAAGTGTGTATTCTAGTTTACGGTTTGAGGTATAATCAGTCCACTGTGGCAGAGAAGTTATGGTATCAGGAGCATGAGGCAGCTGGTCATGTAGCATCCACGCTTGGGAAGCGGAGAGAGATGAATGCTGGTGTTCAGCTTGCTCTCTCCTTGTGATTTAGTTCAAGACCCCAGCCCATGCGTTGGGTACCACTATGATTAGGGTAGACATTCCCACTTCAGCTAATTCAGCCTAGAAGCCCCCTCCCGTAAGACATACCCAGAGATTTATTTCCATGGCAGTTCTAAACCTCATCAAGCTGACCATTGTGTTGACTTATCTGCAGTCACCGTCTTGGGAGTTTCTGCCGATGACGCTAGAACATCCATGAAATTCCAGTCTACGTTGCTATTAAACGGCTCAGTACTTCTCCAAATACCACTTTATTGAACTGTCAGTCATGCCACATGGCATTGCCACAGAAAGCAGCCACTCACAGTGAGGGGCCAGCTGGCCTTTCTTGATGGACACCTCTCCCATATCCGACCCATGTATATGGCCCAGAGCACCCAAACCCAGCCTTTTAAAGGAAGGTACACAGACAACATCTAGCCGTGTGTGGTCCCAGTGCGAATGCAGCACATGACCTCTTGTCCTGAGCTCAGAGTGGGAGGAAGACTTGAACTCTCTTCTCTTGTCCTGGGTTTGCCCGGCTGAGCTGCATTAGCGAGGAAGCCTTAGCATCAGCACAGCTGTGTTTCCGGCATCACTTGGCAAACACTCGTTCCCCTCACGTGTCCACAAGTGTTTCTGAGCTCTTGGATGTGTCAGGTGCTCTTCTAGACTAAGGCCCAGAAAGTGCACATCCTAGCCAGGAGTGGCAAAGGGGAAGGAGGAAGCATGCATAGAAGTGGCAGGATAGTGGGCACGGGCCCCGGGGTATGGAGCATTGCCTTTATGTGGGCATCAGAGGTCTGTGCAGGTGTCTGTGGTGAGCTTGACCCCACTGCCGATGGGTGAGAAACATTGGAGGGAAAACAAAGGCTGTTCGTCACTAATCGCGACGGGCATGTTTCCTCCTTAGTAGGGGCTACGGCCCTGTAGAGAGCCAGGCCTGTTCCTGCCTGAGTCACATACATGAAAGCTCTCAGGGCTTATTTCCTCTAAAAACAACAGGCTGTGTTATCAGCCAGGGCAGGGACAGCCTGCATGCTAGGCTCAGTAGCTGAGATAAGAGGGCATTGGTGTTGTCCCCAGATACTGACCTGGGTAGGGAGGACCTTGGGGAATTTCCTTTGCTGATAGCCTTTGAGAAGAAGGTGGCAGTGTTCAGAGCCTGTGCCTCTTCCCTGGAAAAGGGGAGACACAAACAAGGGAGAGTCTTTGCATGTCCAAAGAGCTGTCAGATGGCAAAGAAGTAAGCTGGTACAGAGAACTTAGTGAGTGAGCCCAATGAGGAGAGTGTAGAAAAAGTAGATAACTTTTGTTTCTGTCTGTGTTTCCCTTCCTCAGTTGCTTGGCAGTCATTCATGGGCACCTCCAGCTCTGGGGCTTTGCTGGGCACTGGAAGTGAAAGGAGTTAGCGGGCACCATACCTCTGGGACGCTGGTAGCCCAGGCAGGGAGAAATAGATCTACCAGTGAGTGGCAGGCATGAGACATAGTTCTGGCTTTGTGGAGCCTGAGGCATATGCAATTTGGAGTGCTCTGTAAAGAAATAACATACTAAGTCATAGATTTGAAATAAAACATAAGCCTTGGTAATTGGGGTTCTCTGGGGGATGGGGTACCATTCTCCTGGTGTGGGACAGTCTCAGTCTCCAGTGGATTTGCAGCTGAGAGACTATCAGGCTTTCTTTCCTGGGTCTCTGGAGGTTGTATGTGTGGGGAGCAGGTCATCTGCTAAAGCCTGGACATAGCCCGAGAAGGAACGCCATTAGGAGGACAGGAACATCCACAGTAGTGTTTGGTGACATGGGTGTTCCTGTCTTTATTTTCTGACTGGTGAGATGGGATAGTCTTTTGTTCCCTTTGTGCTGGTAAACTGTTCTAAGGCATAGTCTATCTTCAGGCTAACTGTGGTAGTTTGAGAATGGCCTGCCCCCCACCCCCAGGCTCATGTATTTGAATGCTTAGTCACCAGGGAGTGGAACTGTTTGAGGAGGATTAGAAGAATTAGGAGGTGTGGCCTTGTTGGAGAAAGTATGCTGCTGGGGGTAGGCATTGAGGTTTCTCAAGCCCACACCAAGCCCAGTATCTCTCTGTGTGTCTGTCGCCTTCAGATCAGGATGTAAGGCCCTCAGCTACTCCACCAGCACCATGCCTATCTGCTTCTAGTCATGATGATCATAGACTAAGCCTTGAAAACTCTTAACTCAAATTAGATGTGTTCTTTCATAGGAGTTGCCTTCATCGTGGTGTCTGTGCATAGCAACAGAAAAGTAACTAAGATGCTAACCTAGTGATCCCACTTCCAGGCTGCATACTAGGGATCAGCCGAACTGTTGAAGTACTGAGCTGTAGTGGGGGGGGGGGGGCGTGTGGGCGGAGCATGTGGGCGTACCTCCAGAGACTTGGTTGGAGGTCAATTCTAAGAGCACCTGGTCAGCCACCGTAGAAACTAGCTATTGATAAGCCAGGTGTACACCACTCATCAAGAACTTATTATTTTATTTTGTATAGGTGACTTTGTATAGTGTTTCCTTAGAAACTATATAAGCCTTTTATGGAACAGAGGGATGGGGTGGTTTAGTAACGTATTCCCAGGCACATAGCTCCTAGCTGGGCTTTGAAGTTGGGGTGTATTTCCAGAGCCATGCCCACCAGCTCTGTTGCCTCTCCAGGATCCTTGTTTCTAATTCTTTTATAGCTTCTAATACATCAGGAAAATAGCCTGAATGGGCAAGTTCAGGAACAGGGTTCAATAAAATACAACTTAGAATGGAGTCATTCATAGTGAGACCACGTAGAGTTTTCCCTAGAACGCCCGGATGTTCCGGGTGTTGGATGCTAAGGGGAAAGCCCCACGTATGTACAGAAAACAATGAAGAGTGGGGGCTGGCGATGTTGAGTTCTCCCTCTGACTTGTATACGCTCAGTTGAGCTTGTTACAGCAGGCTATTTACCCACACGTCCGAGCACCTGTTCCATTGTCCCGATCCTGAGAACACTGCAGCATTTAAAGGTCAAGACCAGGAGTGTTCCTGCGCTTGCTGTGGCCTCTGCCATTGACTGCTCCTTCCCTCCGGTACCAGGTGTAAGTCATATCAGCCTCCCTTAGATCCACCGCTTTGCCTCACGGGGAACAGATGCTTCCAGTCACTCACTGTGGCCAGGCCCAGTGTCTCAGGAAAAGAGGGCCACCAGGGCATGGAAATTTCACAGGTGCTTTTAGAAGCCAACCCCGCACACTGAGTACTTCACTCTTCACGAATGACCAGCTTTGGGGCTGCTCACGTCCAGATGGTCAGTATCCAGGCATTTATAGGTTCTGTAGGTGATCTTAGCTGTAGACATGTTTCCATCTGTGGCCTTTTTCCTTCCATCGCTCCTGTCCACAATATCCCAGGGATAGAGTTCGAGTTCTGTGGGAGAAAGGACAAGACTCAAAGTCTCCCACAAGTCGCCAGTCTCATCCTAGCTCTCCCAACCTCCTGCTAGGCACAGAGCAGCAACCTTCAGAGCAGTGATAGTGTGGATAGTGTGGTCTGAGTGCAAATCCTATTTCTGCTACTCACCAAGTCATGCTGACCTCAGTGTCCTTACCTGTGAAATGGGCAGGATGGCTAAGGATAGCCTGAATTAGTTAATATACAGAAAAGTGCTGAGTCTTACCAGGTAGGGCATGCTCTGATGGCCACTGTGAGACAGAAGAGTCATCAGTAGGTGTTGCTGGAAGTACAACTCTTGCTCTGGAGGAAAGGAAAGTTTATTCTGAGCCAAATGTAAGTGACTGTGGATCAGGAACACAGATTCAGGTTGCCCCCAAATTATGTAAATCCCCACTAAGTGATAACATGGACTCTATAGCCACAGAACAAATGAAAATCATAAAACAGTTCATTTACCGGGGACTTCAGTGGAAATATCAACTGGGCAGGTTGCAGCAGAGAGGATGGATATCTCTGCTACAGCTCTCAAAGGTTACCTGATGACGAGCTTAACTTTTGATGTGCTGGACGCTTGTGGCATGTTGAGACATCCTGAAGTTTCCACTTGAAGTTGAAAGAATATCAGATGAGAGGTAGTTGATAATTGGGTCTTAAGAAGACAAACATGGCCCATAATATTGGTTTATAAGATGGAGGTCTTATGTAGTCAAGATGGCCTTAAACTTGCTAGGTCATTGAGGACGACCTTGAACTCCTGCTCTTCACGCCTCTGCTTCCCCAGTGCTGAGATTCCAGGTAGGCAACACCATGCCCCGCTTCTGCAGTGTTAGGGAATAAACCCAGGACACACTGAGTAAACACTCTACCACCTGAGTTACAACCTCCAGCCCAACTACAACAGTTCAGCTACCCACGATCACGGAGCACTACTTAGACTGTAAAACCTTCAACATAGGTGTGACTTTTTTTTTCTGTGAACTTGAGTCCTCACCGAATGAGTGGTCACGGGGTAGAGATATCGGTGTGGTGTCCTAGGTCTTGTGACCCTTCCAGGAGGTAACCTGCTGTGCCTCAGGAACTTCAAGCACCTGTGGGTTGCATAGTCTCTTCCTTGCTGGAGGGCATCTTCCTCTGCCTCCTAATGAGTCACTTGTCCTCTCTTCTTCAACACTCAGTGTGTGCACATGTCCTGTCTTCTGGGAATCGTCCCTCCCATTTCCATTTTCCCTTCAACCAGGCCTCCTCCCTTGGCATCTGCCCATCCCCCAGTCCTGAAGAGCCCTGTGTAAGTTCCTGGAGGAGCAGGGCTGGGTTTTCTTCCTTCCCTTGTGAGCTTTTACCTGTATCAAGTGCAGATTTTCCTTGCCAGCACTGAGGAAGGTGATGGACCAGGCACATCCAGGTATTCCCAATGCACTAGAAAATGCAACCCAAAGCCAGGATATTTCATTCTGCTCTCAGCACCATAGAATGGCCCACCTGCTAGATCATAAACACAACATTCAGGGTGTATCAAGCTGAGTGGGTGAGTGCTAGGCAGGCCTCCTGGGGAATCTGTCTTTCCTCTTCAGTCACCCCAAGTTCCAGCTACCCTGTGACAACACCCAAGACCTAGTTTTAGAGCAGTAGAAACTGAAGACCCTGTATCTGTGGGCTTGGGGTCTTGACACTAAGGGAACCATTGCTCTTTCTGGATACTGGTCCAAGTAGCTGCCACTTACATGTCTGCATACTTCCCACTTTCTTACGCAAACACACCCCAGTAGCCTTCAGCTCTTTCTGATATCAATGACTGGATAAGGAGGAGGAGGAAGGAAAAGGGAGGGTAACAGAGCCAGCCTGCCTGAGATCCATTTGGCAGGCCTTTGTGTTACATCCCACTGCATGTCCAAGAGGCTCTTCGGGGAAGACGCGTCACTGTGTTGCTCAACGGTTTTTGTGTAAACACTTTTTCTGAGCACTAAAGTTACCCCTGTGCCGAGAGTAAAGGCCATCAGAACAAAAACAGGAAAGGGACCTTTAAGGCTAGAGACACAGACTTGCTTTTCTCTTTGTCAGTTAGAACAGAACCTGCCCCCTGCATGTAGCAGCCTCTGCAAATGGGCGGTCTGCTCAAATCTAGGGATCAGGGACCATCTCTCCCTGCCTTGAATCCTGTACTTGGTTCAAGGAGAGTCACTCCGAGAGTATTCCAGGAATCACCCTGGGCAGTCATTGTGCTGCCTGGTTGTTGTGTAATATTCCAGCAAGCAACTGTAGAAGCTGGAAGTTTCCACCCTTCTCCATTGCTGTGTATTCATATGTCATTGTCAATAGCCCTGTGGTGTTGTGAGCATTTCCCTTCCTTTGAACTGTGTCACTGGGACGAGTTCCCGGGAGGAGTTGGAAGTGCTTTGAGAATTTCTGCCACCTGTTTGCAATGGTGACCTTGTGGAAAAAAAGCCAGGAAGATGGGGGAAACGGGAGCTGGAAGATGATCCCAAGAGGCTGCGAGAGGGACGGAGCAAAAGCCAAGGAGATTCCACAGCTCATGGGATCGTGTGACAGGCAAATGGATCCTTTTTCTGCGGGGCTCAGTGTCCAGATCTTGGAGGAACAGGAACAAGGAGGGGTCAGGCAAAAAAGGAGGCAGGAAATGGGGTGATGGGAACTTGTTTCTGATATAAAGAGAAGCCTTTCTCCAACCTTGCACTCTTTAGGGGCTACTGCATAGATGCTAGCAGTTAGTGAGCTACACTGGACCGTGACCCATCTCGGGTCAGCTTGGGTTGTTGATACTCTACGGGCAAAAATAGCTCAAGCATGGCTCTTGGTTCTCTAAGTGTCTGCCAGGCCTACAGGCCATTTATACCTAGTGACAGTACTTCAGGGCTTCATGATATTACGAGTGCCTTTGGACCATAAGGGGGGAGTGCACACATTCTGTGTAAATTCAGAATTGCAAGATTGCAGCATCCGGTGGAACCCAGGTAACCTTGGCTCTGCTAAATGCCCTGAAGTCCATAGTGTACAAGACTTCATAGTGTACGCCACACTTTCATCACCGTCTGTGGCTCGGATGTCAGAATGGTTAAAAAAGGGAGGGACAGCAAGGGTCCTTCACATACCCAGCAAGGCCTGGAAACTGTCCCTTGTTCTGGCTGCAGGAAAAGTCTTGCACTTTGTAGGCAAACCATAATGCCATAGGGACAGGCTTGCATGTGAAGGGCAGCTTGGGACTCTAGCCAAGAGGTCCTCTTGAGAAATGGCGTGCCTGGCGTGTGGCCTGGCTACATAAGGTAACTCTACTCTGCTCGCCACAGGATGCCCCTCCACACTGCATCTGGACAGTCCAAACCATATCACTCACATAATACAGATGTGTTAATATACACTGTACTGGATGAAAATATTGAAGAATTCTTGAAATGTTTACTTCATTGTCCAAAAATAGTAATAATTGATTATAAGTTGGCAACGGCAGCATTTTAATGAAAACTGCCTAGAAATGGAGTTGGTGAAGAGAGTGGTGCTCTTGGGCAGATCTCATCAGTGTTTGGCTTAGAGGACACCTGGAATGCCAGCGGCTGCCTTTGCTTGAGTCTGCCGTGAAATCGAATGTCGTCTGCCCTCATGGGCAGGCGTGAAAGACCAGGAAGCCCAGTGTTAATGTGGAATGGTCCTGACTATGAACTCCACAGAGGGACGGTGATCCTTGAAGACCTCTACTTGGAGCATAATCTGAGCTTCCTCCCCTCCACACACCTCCTCCCCTTTTCAGTCCTGAAGATGGATATAGGAACAATGGGTCCTTGGGCTGTCTTAGGTTTGGTGGGGAGGGGCCGTGTTCCTCAGCAAGCTGCAGCAGCGAGTCCAGAGAACACACCCAGCTGTTGAAGTTTCCCGTGCCTTGCTCACTCCCTTTCTCTATAAACTGAGATAACAACACCTACTCAGAGGATAATTATGTGAGTCAGTAAGTTAATAGTTTAAAACTCCGAGAGGCAAGTAGAGCGGATGTGCTGCAGAACTTGTATGCACATATCTGTGCATGTATTCCTACATACATACTCACATGTATATATATATATACATATATATATATGCATGTATATATGTGTATGTGTGTACTTACTGTATCCGTGTATATACATATACATAAGTACATATACATAAGTACTATATAGTATGCACTACTTATGCCATTCTGTGCATACCATATGCACTTATAAGTATATTACATGACTATGCATATACTAAAGCCAATTTAAACAAATCCCACTGGTCATTCTAGCAAAAGTCACCCCCTTCATGTTTTTCCTGATATTTAGAGTATATAATAACCACTTTATCCTGTCTCTGCACCCAGAATGAGGGACATAGGACAGTCACTGGTGTGTTCAGAGGTGCTGTACAGAACGTACTTACAGAGGTGGGATACAAATGAGTGATCAGTTGTTAAGAGCCTGCTCCATTTTTGCTGTCCTGGAACTCCTCTTTAGGCTGGCAACAGCTCCTGGTTGGCTGTCTCCTGCCTTTTGCTGTCGTTTCTTCAGTGCCTGGATATGATAGGAGTCCGCTCAGAAAACCCCAGAACTAGCCCAGGACCCACAGAGCCTGTGCTGGGAACACTTCCTTGGGGCTCTCTGCCTGGATGCTCACAGTGCGAATTGTGCAAAAGTGCATGTGCCTCTACCTGTGAGACTCTTTAAGACCGGAAACAAGGCTGCCTTCCTGTTCTGATGCAGTTGCACCTTGGGAGGCGGGAGGAATGTCCCCAGAGGCCATTGGTGAGGTCCTGAAGTGACACTTGCCTAAAGACATTCTAGGAAGGCCTGTGCTGGAGTGTCTGACTCCAGTAGTATTCTTTCCTAGGTTCAGCTAACAGAACCTACTGCAGAGTCCGGAGGGAAGACAGGGCTTTCTGAAAGGTGCTCCCTCACTGTTACAACCCAAACCCCTCAGGAAGCCCAGTGCGCCTGGTGAGAGTCATGTGTTACTGAGAGCCCAGAGAGTCCTTGGTATGCAAACTTGTGAGGAACAGAGGAGGAGAGAATTTGGGAGCGTTGACCGAGTAGCAGACGAGGAGTGGGTTAAGAGTGTGGCCATCGAGGGAGCAGAGCTGTTTTGCAGAGGGGACCATTGTGAGCACTAAGGACCCAGGAAGGTCCCTGGAGAACACAAGGGCAGAGCTCACAGAGCTGCCAGTAGGCAAGAGCAGTGGATGAGACAGAGAACATGATGACGGCTGGGGCGGGAAGGCCTGGGTAGCCTTGGGCGATGCTCTACCACTACAAGGATGCCATCCCATTCCTGTCTGAACTTCAGCGGCTTTCTGGGGCCTTCTAAGTTCACACTGGGTCAGAAGCCTCCCCTAACACCCCACCAACCTGGGCCTATAATGTCCCACAATATCTACATCTTTCTTGGGAGTATGTGGGGGCGGGCAGAAGGCTGGTCCTGATTTTTATAAACTCCAACTTCATCCAGGAACATCTCTCCAATCTCAGCCCCTAGGACCCTTCCTATGCACAGTCTCCTCAAGAACTTTTGTTTCCCTACCCTCAAATGTCACATCTCTTTCCTTCGTGGGAACCTGTTAATAACCAGCTGTTATTGCCTGTCAGATTCCCCCTGTAGATGCCAGATTCCACAAGTTCAGCCTCAGAAACTGCAGCCCATGTCCACATGACCAATATCCTCGGCTTTGCTGTGGCCAGAGAGGTATAAAAGCCCTTTGTAGGTGGCCTGTTTCTAGCAGCTTAAGGGCTACAGAGACAGGGTTGGTCCCCAAGTCTTGCCTGATGTGCGCTTAGTCTCCTATGACCACACATTGTCTCCAGCATGGTCTCCAGCCGAAAGGCGTCGCTAGCTTACTCTGCAGCGCTCTCTCTTTGCACAGGCTAGCCTCGCTGCCCAGGAGCCCTACCCATGTCCCTTCACCCAGCAAATGATCCCTTGACCCTATTGCCTGGGTTGTTCTTGAGAACTAAGCTCACAATCTGTCCACAGGGCCGCCATGGCTGAGCCCTGGCATTCCACACACACAGCTTCCTGCACCTCTCTCCATCCTTTCTCTGTGTGGTTCCCTCAGCCCTCTGTGAACCAGGGGGACTCCACCTTCCATGCCAAGCTGGAGTGTACATGTAAGGGCCCACTGAACTCTTAACCCTCTGAATTCTTATTCCAGGAAACCACGGTGGTCTATTTTTGTCCAGAGTTCTAACTGGGACCTTGTGTTTGCCAGTGATGACAGGCCTTCATGGTAGTCTCTGTTGTCTGAAGCCCAGAATTCTCTCTATTCCACTCTGATCTTTATTTGTATTTCAAAGAACTCACAGCCATTAGGCCCCAGGTCCTCGGAGATTGTTTGTGAAAAGACAGAAGTCTGGGTAGAGAGGAAGCCATGGGCGCCTTGAAGGAAATCATACAATTGGACTAACTTAATGTGGAGGCCTCCCGTGGGAATTTGATGGCTCCAGATGGCTTGGGAACCCTGACATTCTTCATCAGCTCTTTCCATCTTCCCACCTCTTATTCTAGAACAGCCTGCAGGCCCTGAGTGGTAATGGAAAGTAACTGGGGGGTGAGGATCCAGGCTGTCTAGAGACAGGGCTGGGCAGGTGTGTTGTGTTTGCAGATGGGGGCTACAGAGAAATCAGTGCCTTCATCTGGGCCCAGCCTTCCAATTCCAGGCTTCTTTCCCAAGCTCAGGCACATGGTGAGGACTTCATACCTTTCTAGCCTGTCATTCGAGGCTGTGTCAACTTCAGGCAAGCCCCGCCCTTCATCTTCCCATCAAGTCCTTTAACCCTGGTGGACTTCCAGGGCTATCAATGCATCCATACGCTTGCTGGGAGCCATTTGCCTTACATATTGTGTTGAAAATCCCATACATCAGATCCCAGGCTCCAGGGAGCAGGAACCCTAGTCTCTCTGGGACCCTAATTATCACCCACTGTTAGCTGGCTTA